GCCAGGGATCGCCTGCCCGCCCACCTGCCCAGAATCTCTTTTCTCGTGTCCGCTTCCCATTTTGGAAACAGACGTTTCTGGGTGGCACACAATGCCCACTTCTTAGACCAAGAATGTGCAGCCAAGTTCTGTGCCTGTCTGGAAGGAAATCGTATTGTGCCCAGTGGGGTTTACGCCAAAGGAGGCGTACCTAGAGATGTGAAGGCCTGGAAAAAAACCGGAAAAATTCGGGGAAAAAACGGGTTTTTTCCGTTTTTTTCCCTGAAGATTTTTTGTTTTTTTCCGTAAAATTGGAAAAAATGAAAAAAGAAAAGAAAGATTATGGAACGTTTTATTTTAACATGATGAATAAAATATTTTAAGACAAGGTGTTCAAATATTTTCCAAATCATTTCTAATATATATATATATGGTATCAGATTGATCTAATTTCTGTGCACTGAGGACAAGCAAGTCCTAGGTTACAAACTGAACTCTCCAATGCAAGAACAAGATGCATTTCTTCCTTTAGGAGGTGCGATTGTCAGAAGAAAAAAAGGTTTCAGTTTTGTTTTTGCATGTGGGTGGGTATTCTGTTTGTAATAATTGTTTTAGATACACTATATTTTTAATATGCTAGTTGTGATAATTTCATGCCAAGTAAAAATGTCCATCGTCATATTTTATGTTCCTAAAGTAACAGAATGACTTTCAATCTAGAAAAGACAAAAGAAATGCTAACGTAGCATTTTTTTCAATTTTCCCGAAAATTTCCGTTTCCCCCCGAAAAAAACCGGGTTTTTTCCCGAGTTTCAAAATTTTCGGAAATTTTACATCTCTAGGCGTACTTTCTCTACGAGGAGAAGCTAAAGTAGTGGCGCGAGAGCCACGCGTGCCTCTTTGACGCACCACCTGCGGCTCTTCTGTGCGCCACTGCCAAAGAGGAAAGGCAAGGCGGCTCTTTGGGTGATAATTGCAGGTGCGGTGGTTCACTGTGAGCCCTGGAGGAGGGAGCACTACTGGGCTGCGTTTGGAGCTTTCCGTTCTGGAGGGGAGAGATGAAGGGGGTGGGAGCCTTAGCCCCTGGGAAGAGCTCGGCAGGCCCGGTCCACGCACACCCCTGCCCGGGGTGCGGGGTGGAGGGAGGACTCGGCGGCCGGGACGGGAGGGAGGGCCCCCTTGCGGAGGAGTGCCGGGGGAGGGGGGCGCCCGTCCGTCCGTCCCTCCTTCCTCGCCGGGCGAGGGGCGCAGAGGCCGAGCGCGCGCGCGCGCTGGAGTCTCCGCGGGAAAGGCTCGAGCTGGCTCCAAGCGGGCAGCCTCGCGCGCCCTCACCCAAGCAGCCCCAGAGGCGCTCTGAGCCGGCCAGACGCGGCGCCGGCCAGCGGAGAGGCTCCTCCCCCCGATCCAAGGCCGGGGGGGCCCCAGGATGCCGCGCGGAGGGAGAGGCGGGGCGCGGAGGGGG